ACCTCTTTCGGACAGGTGGAACCACTCCTCTTCATTAGTTTATTTATTTTAGTAAAAGATGTCTTAGATTTAGATTTACCTTGTTCCTGGTAATAACACATACCCCATGAAAACCCAAAGTTGGAAAAGCAGTTATACTTCTTACTTGAATGGACAGAGGGTTACAACCATATCGTTTCCCGAAACTGACCAGTACATTTCGATTTGCCACGAACTACCCTGAACTCGCAGGGAGATGAAGGCAAAGCCAGGAGAGGGGGCGTGGGGAGAACATTTCTCTTCTTTTGGAGAGTGCTAGCCCTCCACAATCCCACATCGTGAACACAAAGACCCTGTGGGAGAATTCTAGGTGAAGCATTAATGCAATCCCTCTCAACTCACGCTGAGCTGCCTGCATTTGCTCTTTAACTTTGAAGTTAATCAAGCGTGCTTAATTCTTCTCCTCGTCCATCCAGATCTTCCCCAGAGAAAAGATCTCCATCCATAGGAGCAGCATCCATGGCTCCGTGTTCCTGCGCCTCCCCTTTGATTTCCTCTTACAAGTCACGTCTTTCCCCTACCTCCAGAAGCTTGGCTTAATTTGTTCTCATCCTTTTCTAAAGTCTACGTGCCGAATCCTTCAAGACTGGCTCCAGTAATACTATCTTGTCGACATCTCTTGGAATGTCCTTTGCCTTCACAGAACCCTCAGCCTTGTCACCGCAGGTTCCCTGGTGTGTGTCCTCTGCTTCCTCATCGTCGGCACCAGCCAGTTCAGGACGAGATTCCAAAACCCTCGCGCCAGGGGTCACTGGTCCTTTGTAGCCGGCTTTTCTTCTTTCCAGAGCATGCTCAGCCTTATCCCTCTGCTCCTGCCTTGACCTTTGTCTCCGTGCCAGAGAAGATCCGGGGTGATTTGGGTAACGTTTGCACCTAGGGCAGAACACTCCCTTTCCATGGGATCTTCCCAAGACTTTGCATCGTCTTTCTCTCCTTTCATTTGATCTTTTCCCAACACAGATCCAGGGGGAAGGAGGGGCGTGACGATGCGGACACCTACCACCCCCACAAACCGGCCAACTTGCTGTTTTTAGTAGCTTCTGGGAAACGCTAGCACGTGGTTTGAGTTTGCAGGTTCTCCTTCGCCTCACCGTGTTTCTGGTTCACCGCTCTTCCCAGTGTCTTCTCTTCCCAGTCACCCAAGGTCTCTGTGCCCAGGTCTTCATCTCTGGGGTCTCTGTAAACGATTGGCTCTTCGCGTCTTCCCTCAGAGTCAAGTCACCAGAGAAGTGAACATCTCTCTTCTCTCGTGCACCAACCTTGCTTGTAGAATGCTCAAACCACCAGTTTGGGACCTGCACCTTGGCTTACGTTCAAAAAGAGAGTAAACATTATATATAGGTATGAATATAGATATGCATCTATGTAAATACACAGAGGCAGGCGTATTTGTTTATGTAAATATCTATGTAATGGTAAAAAGATACCATTCGCCACTGAAAGGAGGCAGGTAATGTCTGGCACAGGGAATGCATGCCTGAGGGGGGCCCGGAGTGGCTGTGGCCCCTGGAAAAGTCAAAATCAGGTGGGGCTTTGCCAAAAGGATGTGGGGTCCTGTTCCCAGGTGTCTGGGGAGATGACATCCATCCCAACCAAGCTGGCAGCGGTCGATGTCAACTTGGGCATATGTGTTAGGCCGGGTTGACTAGAGAAACAAATTCAGAGACACTCAGATATGTGTAAGAGAAACCTTTATATCAAAGAGCAATTGTCTATCGAGAAAACATCGCAGCCCAGTCCAGATCAAGTCCATAGGTCCAATATTAGTCTATAAAGGCCTCTTCAGAATCACACAGTCTGTACAATGATGCCGAATGCAGGAAGATCACAGGCCAGTGGGTGGACAGTCTTGTGGATCCAGTGGCAGTGTGAGCATCTCAGCACTGGTGCAGGTCTCCACGTGGCTCCTCCAGCTCTCTGAGTGTCTCAGCAGCAGGAAAGGGAAGCAGAGAGAGAGAGTGTGTGTGTGGCTTCCAGGGAGAAAGAAAGGAAGTTCCCAGAATCCTCATGAGAAGGCCACGCCCATAGGCCAGACTCCACCCCTTCACCCCATTTATCACGTTGATGTGAAATTATGTAACCACCACAGCATGGGTGGGCCCAGGCATGGTCCACGTGCTGCCTGCTCACCAACCTGGGTGAGCGTCCCTCACCCCCACCTTATCCGCTCTGGTCCTCTTCCCCCATCGCCAGTGGAGGCAGCTGGCAGCCTGCAGGGCTGCAGTCACCGGAGATGACAACTTCTTAACGGGTTTTATAGTGCGTGGTGGTCAAGGCCATCATGCTGGGTAAAGTGGAAGGGGGCGGCGAAACAGAGGAAGGCCCTCAACAAGATGGATGGGCACCGTGGCTGCCCCCACAGGCGCAGACATAGGGCCATGGTGAGGACGGCAGGGGCGGGCAGTTCCGTTCTGTTGTGCATGGGGTCGCTCTGGGTGGGAACCAACTCGATGGCACCCCACAGCAACAGCAGCAACATTGACACGGGTGTTGGTTTGAAGATGGGGTGACCTGCAGCCACTTATCTGTTGGAACCAGGGACCCTGTGCTCCTAGGGGACAAATGGAGGCCCGTGCAAAGGGGGCACCTTGGCCCACCACCAGCCTGGCCCTCTCTCGGGTACAGCGGACCCTGGGCTCAGCATGGCAGCTGGATAGGGAAGATGCCACTTCCTGCTGTGCACCCATCAATCCACCAAGTGCCTGGGACCCCGCTCCGCCAGTGAGGTCTGGTGGTTCCCTGAGACAAGAGACCTCCGGGAGAGTCCAGTGGGGAACTGGGAGGGACTTTAGACATCATGTCGGGAACAGGAGGGGACGGCACTGATGAAGATGCAGGTCTCCCACCTGCTGCCTTAGACACACATCTGCACAGAGGAGACTCAGGCCAGGAACTCAGGACCACAAAAGGACGTGGTCTCTGCTGGGGTGGGGCCTGGGCGTGGCCTTGGTAGAGTCAGGGATCCAATGGGGTGGCACTTCAATGAACTTGGACTCTCCACAGGGCCTCAGAGGGTAGGGCCCTGATAGGGGGTGGAGCCTGGGTGGGATGAGGCCTTGGTGGGGTGAGCTGGGTCTCAGAGTGAGTGGGGCCTTGGTGGGTGGGCGGGGCCTTCTGCTTACAGAATTCCAGGTACTCCGGTGGGGCCACGTTTGAGGGGATGCACCAGTGCTCCCCAGAACCTCTCCACCCCCAGCAGCCCCCTGTGCCCTGAGGAGGCAGGCAAACCAGCCAGGGGCTGTTTCTGTACCATTTAGACTACTCTGAATTTGGGAAAAAAACAGGCAAAGGAAAGAAATTAAAACTGAAAGCAAAACAATGACTGACTTTTTTTTCTGTGTTTAAAAATAAGCGCTCTTTGTGGGAGAGGGGAATATAGAAGTAGCTCTCCCCCAAGCACCCGCACATGAAGAAAAATCCAGACAAATATATATATATAGTATATACTCAAGTATAAACCGACCCAGATATCAGCCGAGGCACCTAATTGTACCACCAAAACTGCATTAAAAAACTCGGCTTATACACAAGTCTATACGGTGTATATATTCTTCACTATGGCAGGTGGATCTCTCAGGCCCGTGGGGTTGACCGTGGTTTCTCTGTCAGGGGGTCAGGGGGACAGAAGCTGTATTTTCTGATTTTTGCCATCATGAAACTCGATCTCTTGTCAAACAAAACGCTTTCATACAACAGAAGCGTCGTCCCTTTGGTTTTTAACTCCTGAGACACCAGATCTCTAAGACGGTTGGTGCCTGCGAGACTTCTCCGGTCAGCCTCTGTCCGCTCCAGGTTAGACAGGGTGGGTGTGGAGGGCCTCCTGTGGCCAGACAGCCGCGTTAGGGCCCCGAGCCTTTTTCTGGAAACCTGGCCACTTCCTCGGCGATGTCCGTGTCCACTGCAGATGGCCTCTGCGGTCGGGTGATGCTGCCGCCACTGAAAAGGCCCCTGTGTCGTCCTCAGGCGTCCGAGGGCGTCCCCATGCGCTTCTTCGCCAGGCTGGACCAGCTGATCGAGTTCTACAAGAAGGAGAACATGGGGCTGGTGACGCATCTGCAGTACCCGGTGCCCCTGGAGGAGGAGGACGCCGGGGACGAGCCCGATGAGGACACCGGTGAGTGAGGAGGCAGAGGGGGCACCTGCTCGCAGGAAACCACCTGGGCGTGCCTCTCAAAGCACAGGCTTGGCAGAGTCGGGGAGTTTGTCCATTAGAGGGGGTGACTGAGGACAGGCTGGACACACAGCCCAGAGGGTCCAGGGAGGCCTGTAGGGGGGAGTGCCCCGTGCCCAGCTTTCCAGCTGTGTGAGCGTGGGTACATTGCTTAATCTCTCCGGACCACAGCTGCCCCCTCAAAGAGAGACGGTGAAGACAGTGCCGGACTCTCTGGTTGCCAAAGGACCACGTGAGACGGGACCATGGAGCCCAAAGCTCAATCCGCAGCAAGCGCCCCATCAGCGCAGTCTCGCCATCATCGTTCTCATTAGCTGGGGCCGCAGGACGCGGGCAAAGAACCTTACAGAGAAGTGGGGGAGGGGAGGTGACAAAGGTGTTTCTTGGTGTCAGGGAAACCGTGTGCAGCCCCTGAAAAAAACGCATGTTCGAATCAGGCTTGCTCTTTTAACCATGCATACAACAAAGACCAACCCAACCTTGAGCCGGAGAGAGAAAGGGGGTGCAGAGAGAGAGTAAGAGTGCTCACTGCTCAGGAGAAAGCCCCCAGGTACCTAATAGAGGCAGGCAGCTGTTGGTGGATCAGTGGTAGAGCCCTTGCCTTCCGTGCAGGACACCCGGGTTCAAATCCCACTACTGCATCTCACGCACAACCACCCTGGCTTGTTGTGGCCCTGGGCAGGTTTCAGAGAAGCTTCTAGGCCCTGCGTCCCCAAACCTATTTGGCCTTTCAAATAAATTCAAATCCACCACCACGGAAAGAATGCTGACTCATAGCACGCCCCCTAGAGGACAGAGTCAGAACTGCGCCTGCCGGTTTCTGAGAGGCCCCTCTTGACGGAGTAGAAAGCCTCATCTTTCTCCCCCGGAGGGGCCGGCTGGTGGTTTCAAACTCCTGCCCTCGAGGTGAGCAGCCTAATGCATAATCCACAGGACAGGAGGGCTCCCTACGTGGCCTACCACCCTCTTTTCAGAACAAGTAATATAAAAATACTCAGCACCCCGCTGGCAACGAAGCCCTCTCTGCGCCAGAGCCAGCGTGCACTCTTAAATGCAGGTGTCTGCTTTCGCACGCTCCTGGGTGAGTCCGCGCCCTCCGAGGGATGGCACAGCCCATGGTGGGAACCACCGTTCCAGACGAAGACTAGGAGGAAAGGCCGGGCAGCCTACTTCTGGAAAGCAGACAGTGAGGACCCCACGGCTCACAGTGGCCCCTCCCAGTGACCCCAGGGGTCACCGTGCATTGGGGCTGATGACAAGATCGAGAGTAGGACCCCTCACATTAACTGCAGAGCTTGAAGCCTGGCACTGAGAACAGCCCCGCCCTGCAGGGTCTCCCCAGAGGAGGGGGTTTCCAGAAGCAGCGGCTAGGG